TCCGTTCTGAGGACGCCTCTCGTGCGCACGACCCGCATATCTTGTGGATTATAGATTGAAATCAACGCTTTTATAAAATTACGCAATGCTCGCGTTGGGGTTCAGGGGTCGGTCTCAGGTCCCTGACACGACGCCAGCACCCTCTCACGGTCGAGGGTACGTTCAATCGGGGTGAGGGGTGTCAATTATCTCCCGCGTGCACTACATGCTAATTATCAGTGTTATCAAGTTATAGATAGATTGGATGTTTATGGGGCATTCTATAAAACGAGACAGCGTTTGTAGAATCACATCTATCTTCTTCGAAGTAGTTCCAAATGGACAGGACACGGCCTTTATGAGGTCTTACTGTCAAACCCAATATTATACAGAAATTGACCGCTGACCATAACTAATGTCCAACTCTGCTATTTGGAAACCTGTTTATACACTAGAGAAATGGCGCGGAAACTGGATTATCCCAAAGAGCATGTGTGTTGTGTAGAGTTCAATGGCGGATAGACGTATGTCAAATATGTCAATTTCTATTCATCACCGAGAGAGATGGGGTGAGCCTCGCTACCGACTCACGGGGCTGAGTCGAGACCTAACAAGATAGGAAAAGAAATTGTGTCCATTGCTGGAATGCTAATGGATTGATGGACTTGTTTCCAATAGAATTATTGAGTAAACGGTAGTCAGACTCTAACTTCAAAGAGGGCTAGATATCGTATTAATGTTGGCATTATCCAATGTTCCGTCATTATAACTACTTGGGCGCGCTCTGCTCACACAGAAACCCGGGTAAGGTGAAGTGGCATGTCTCTTTACTACTTTTGTAAAATTCGCTATATGATGTCGAATCAAAATTATTCTCTTCCATTGAAACTGATATCTATGCATAACTTTTAATATAATTCGCGCGTAGGAACGTTTGAACATTCCTCGTCGGCGGGTCAGTTTTGTAGAATATTTATTAATCAAGCAAAGTATATTTCGTAAAATCATCAAAACGCTGTAAAGGATTGTGATTCCCTGTCAGGTTTTCTCTTGATTAAATTTGCATGACTTTATGTCGGTGGTCAAACATGACAATGAAACTGACATTTCTATAAAGAGGCATTTAGTGGGAAAATCTCATGTTATATCATAAATTATATTATTATAATATATATTATCTGCATTACATTTTCACCCTGAGAGTAAGTAATTGTTATTCAGCCTCTTCCCTCTCTTCCTCTGTAACACTCTGCTCCTAATGATAATCTTTATCTATTATGGTCATCTACCCGTAATGTTTGTCTATCACATATCGTGCTCTACCCCTTATGTTTGTCTATCACATATCATGCTCTATCCCTAATGTTTGTCTATCACATATCATGCTCTACCCCTAATGGTTATCTATCACATATCGTGCTCTACCCCTAATGTTTGTCTATCACATATCGTGCTCTATCCCTAATGTTTGTCTATCACATATCATGCTCTACCCCTAATGGTTATCTATCACATATCGTGCTCTACCCCTAATGTTTGTCTATCACATATCGTGCTCTATCCATAATGGTTGTCTATCACATATCGTGCTCTACCCCTAATGTTTGTCTATCACATATCGTGTTCTACCCCTAATGTTTGTCTATCACATATCTTGCTCCACCCCTAATGCTTGTCTATCACATATCGTGCTCCATTCCTAATGGTTGTCTATCACATATCGTGTTCTATCCCTAATGTTTGTCTATCACATATCATGCTCTACCCCTAATGTTTGTCTATCACATATCATGCTCTACCCCTAATGGTTGTCTGTCACATATCTTGTTCTACCCCTATTGTTTATCTATCATGTATAGTCCTTCAGTCGTAGTGGTCTTTGCTGATATCACTTAGTTTATTCATGACCTAAACCCCTAACAACACGCCTTTGATACGCAGTTCTATACTTGTCAAACAGATTGAGTTCCGAATGCATTGGATTAAATAAATTAAACTGTCAAAGGAATCGTCTCTCTCGAAAACAATAAAAAGATATCGCACTTTTTGTAACATGAGAGCATCTCTTCAACTTACCACATGTGGTGAAATCAAATGCTCACTGTTGTAGATACTATCGGCGATTCATTTTTTCAGAAGGGAATTACGGTCATGTTTTATGCGCTTGGTAGAAGCAGTCACGAATTTATTTATGCAAGTTCAAAACGCAGCATATGGGCATTAAATCAGAAAACAGGCAAAACTTTGGAAATAGTGGATAGGGGATAGAACTTTTGGCCCGACTGCTCAGTGTAGCCACTTTAATCTGTCAGAGGAATTGAAGGGGAAATTTATGAACATTAGGACTGTCTATCCGCTCCCTAGGGTCCGGCATTGGGTTCCGTCTCGCTCGTAATGGGCCGGACAGATAAGGTATTAATCACTAGCAAGGGCGATCGAGCGTTAACGTAGATTTAATAGAAAATATGGATCTCTCCGGCCAATGAGTGGTCAGTAATGACCACCGGTCATTCAACATTTAGTGTGAAATAAGGTGGTTATAAATTAATGTAAAGTGACTATCGCGCGTCTTCGGCAAATAGAAACGTGATATATGGGCAGGGGCAATTGTACGTTTGAGGAATCTTTGGCACTTCTATGCCGTAAAACGGCAACTAGTAACGTACGACTCAACCACGCCCCTTTTCCACCAGTACAACAACCCACTATAAGGAAAATCAACATCGAGATACACACGAGCGATAATAGACAGATTTACAGTTGTATTCTGCCTGCAATATTTGTTCAATTTGTTGACAAAACGGGTCATTACCATGACGTGTTTTAATCACACTTATATAATACATCTGAAAAACGACCAAAAAGTCAATTTTTTTTCTTTAAAAATCTGTTGAAATATCTTAAATTTCTAATATTTTGAATGAATGTATTGCAATTTCACGTTTGCATTTAATTTTCATCCCCTCAAAATGTAATTATAAACAGGGAGGTATAATGTACGTCCCTTATTTAAACAAATAAGAAAATGTTATGAATTCTAAGTGTAAGATTTTAAAAATATTTAGATAGATTTTTGAAGATTTTTTCATCTTTCGTTATTGAGATATAAATTATCTACTAAAATCCTGAACTGGGTTTTGGAACCCGGGCCGAGACCAGGTACGACGTACATTTGTAATTGGCGACTTAAAAGTGACGATGGCGGTTGTTGTCCAATAAAGTTAACATCTTGATGTTGATATGGGATTTCTACAGGGTACAAGACATGACAACATCAAACGATTTTTTTTGTGTGGACACTGTCGTAGATTTTGACGTTTCACCCGGACATGGAAATGTCGACCTTATCACTTATTCCTTTCATCAGGTCATAACTGGGTTACTACATACTCGGACAATCTCGTTCATCAAACACACATTAGAAAGAAAAGACATTTGTTTTAAAAGTAATGTATGATCTAATGAGATCTGCGGCCCCTATAATATCAAAAAATATCATTTTAAAAACAAGTTCAGTTTTTCCTTCTCGGGAGTTTCAACCCTATACTACACATATATGGACCATGGATCGGGAATTCGTGTCAAGGCCCTGTGCTACAGGCTACGATGACTACGACAAACACTGTATATGCTTATTGCAGACTTATGAATACAATAAGACTGTTACAGAAAACGCTTATTGACCGAGGACGCTTATTTCCGAAGAATGAAGGACTACCTATTTCTGAAGTACTCGTATGACAGAATTAGAAAAGAAGGTTTAGTTGTCTGTAAGGGACGTTGTATGTACTTCAAATGACTGGAGCTATTGGTACTTGAATACCGCATTTTATCACAGTTTAGATAAGCTTATTGTCGCCTTTCAATTTGACTGATGAAATGAAATAAACACTTAAATTGTTTCATCTTTATTTCATAATGAGTGATTGTGTATGAACTTATGATCAAAGGGCGAGGAGACGAGATCTTATCACTGGCACCAGTAGCATCAGACACCTCGCCATACATCCCACTTCTTGACAAAGACATCTCAATAAAAATCTGAAACAAAATAAAACAGTCATAAATATATCAATATGTTTCGCGAAATCATGAATAATTAGTATAATCATCCGCAACAATTAGTCACAATTCATCGAGACAGACATCGCAATGGCGACAACGAACGTGCACTATTACGGAGACATGTACATAACATTAACAAGTTGACGACATTAGATCACGTGGTGTGAGAACGAGCGGAGAAGGGGGAGGATGGGAAAGACGAGAGGGATGGACTTTTGAGTGAGAGATAGGTAGATTATGGTAAACAAGATAATGTGTTTCACCTATACTGGACAAGTATGGTCCGTAACCCACACCTCGGCCACTGTTTACATGTATTAAAAGGTTAATATATGCATGACACTTTTAATATATATTCTCAAATTGACACTGCTGTCTCTATATACGACATAATATATTAACTATATAACATACGACTATCAATAATAAACAGACTACTAATGTTGTTGTAAAAGTGACATTTTTACACGGTGAAAAATTTGACACGATGGAGGAGGGAGGCAGTCGGACTGTGCGTTCTTCTGACTCAGATGTGTCATTATGTATAACACATCTCGTCAAGTATGCCTCATTAAAAGTCATTTTCAGGAAATGTTCTGCGGTTGGGAAAAGTCAGAGGGGACAGGCCAGTTCGCCACGCCAACCTCAATCTGACACACCATTCATTACACCTCTAAGTTTAACAGTTTAACGTGGAAGGTGAGACAATGAGAGCGTGAATATGCAGTTTATCTGTTCAGGAATATGTTTGTTTTATAAGAAAAAGATGTCTCATTGGAAGATGAAAAATAAGTTATGAGACACACAGAAATATCTTTTAACAAAATGAAAAAGCAGGAAAAAGCGACAGCATAGTGAAGTTGATATAGACATCTGATTCAGTCTCTCTTTGATCTTTTTCTGGTCCCATTGGGCCTGTTCTGTATTTGTCTGCTTCTATTGGTGAGCTCTGTTGGCTAGTCCAAATTGACGTGCTGTGTTGTCTGGTCCAAATTGGTGTGCTGTATTATTTGGTCCAAATAAGTGCTCTGTGTTGTCTGGTCCAAATTGGTGTTCTGTGTTGTCTGGTCTAAATTGGTGTACTGTGTTGTCTGGTCCAAATTGGTGTACTGTGTTGTCTGGTCTAAATTGGTGTACTGTGTTGTCTGGTCTAAATTGGTGTTCTGTGTTGTCTGGTCCAAATTGGTGTACTGTGTTGTCTGGTCCAAATTGGTGTACTGTGTTGTCTGGTCCAGATTGGTGTACTGTGTTGTCTGGTCCAAATTGGTGTTATGTGTTGTCTGGTCCAAATTGGTGTTCTGTGTTGTCTGGTCCAAATTGGTGTACTGTGTTGTCTGGTCTAAATTGGTGTACTGTGTTGTCTGGTCAAAATTGGTGTTCTGTGTTGTCTGGTCTAAATTGGTGTTCTGTGTTGTCTGGTCCAAATTGGTGTACTGTGTTGTCTGGTCCAAATTGGTGTTATGTGTTGTCTGGTCCAAATTGGTGTTCTGTGTTGTCTGGTCTAAATTGGTGTACTGTGTTGTCTGGTCTAAATTGGTGTTCTGTGTTGTCTGGTCAAAATTGGTGTTCTGTGTTGTCTGGTCTAAATTGGTGTTCTGTGTTGTCTGGTCCAGATTGGTGTTCTGTATTGTCCGGTCCAAATTGGTGTTCTGTGTTGTCTGGTCTAAATTGGTGTTCTGTGTTGTCTGGTCTAAATTGGTGTTCTGTGTTGTCTGGTCCAGATTGGTGTTCTGTATTGTCCGGTCCAAATTGGTGTTCTGTGTTGTCTGGTCTAAATTGGTGTTCTGTATTGTCCGGTCCAAATTGGTGTTCTGTGTTGTCTGGTCCAGATTGGTGTGCTGTGTTGTCTGGTCTAAATTGGTGTTCTGTGTTGTCTGGTCTAAATTGGTGTTCTGTGTTGTCTGGTCCAGATTGGTGTTCTGTATTGTCCGGTCCAAATTGGTGGACTGTGTTGTCTGGTCCAAATTGGTGTTCTGTGTTGTCTGGTCCAAATTGGTGGACTGTGTTGTCTGGTCCAAATTGGTGTTCTGTGTTGTCTGGTCCAAATTGGTGGACTGTGTTGTCTGGTCCAAATTGGTGTTCTGTGTTGTCTGGTCCAGATTGGTGTTCTGTGTTGTCCGGTCCAAATTGGTGTTCTGTGTTGTCTGGTCCAGATTGGTGTGCTGTGTTATCTGGTCCAAAATGGTGTTCTGTGTTGTCTGGTCCAGATTGGTGTTCTGTATTGTCCGGTCCAAATTGGTGTTCTGTGTTGTCCGGTCCAAATTGGTGTTCTGTGTTGTCTGGTCCAGATTGGTGTTCTGTGTTGTCTGGTCTAAATTGGTGTTCTGTGTTGTCTGGTCCAGATTGATGTGCTGTGTTGTCTGGTCTAAATTGGTGTTCTGTGTTGTCTGGTCCAGATTGGTGTTCTGTATTGTCCGGTCCAAATTGGTGTTCTGTGTTGTCTGGTCCAAATTGGTGTTCTGTATTGTCCGGTCCAAAATGGTGTTCTGTATTGTCCGGTCCAAATTGGTGTTATGTGTTGTCTGGTCCAAATTGGTGTACAGTGTTGTCTGGTCCAAATTGGTGTTATGTGTTGTCTGGTCTAAATTGGTGTTCTGTGTTGTCTGGCCTAAATTGGTGTTCTGTGTTGTCTGGTCTAAATTGGTGTTATGTGTTGTCTGGTCCAAAATGGTGTTCTGTATTGTCCGGTCCAAATTGGTGTTATGTGTTGTCTGGTCCAAATTGGTGTACAGTGTTGTCTGGTCCAAATTGGTGTTATGTGTTGTCTGGTCCAGATTGGTGTTCTGTATTGTCCGGTCCAAATTGGTGTTCTGTGTTGTCTGGTCTAAATTGGTGTTCTGTGTTGTCTTGTCCAGATTGGTGTTCTGTGTTGTCTGGTCTAAATTGGTGTTCTGTGTTGTCTGGTCTAGATTGATGTGCTGTGTTGTCTGGTCTAAATTGGTGTTCTGTGTTGTCTGGTCCAAATTGGTGTTCTGTATTGTCCGGTCCAAATTGGTGTTCTGTGTTGTCTGGTCTAAATTGGTGTTCTGTGTTGTCTGGTCTAAATTGGTGTTCTGTGTTGTCTGGTCTAAATTGGTGTTCTGTGTTGTCTGGTCTAAATTGGTGTTCTGTGTTGTCTGGTCCAGATTGGTGTTCTGTATTGTCCGGTCCAAATTGGTGTTCTGTGTTGTCTGGTCCAAATTGGTGTTCTGTGTTGTCTGGTCCAGATTGGTGTTCTGTATTGTCCGGTCCAAATTGGTGTTCTGTGTTGTCTGGTCCAGATTGGTGTGCTGTATTTTCTGATTTCATTAATGTGCTGGTTTTTCTGGCCCCAATGACCTACCGTGTCTGTCTAATTTGTGTTGTGATTTATGGTTCCAATGGTCTGCTCTGATTTTTCTGGTTCCAATAGCAATGGTGTGCTTTATTTGTCTGGTCACATTGGTCTATTGTGTTTGTCTGGACCCAATTGTCTAATGTGTCTGTCTGGATGCAATGGTCTGATGTGTTTGTCTGGACCCAATGGTGTTATGTGTTGGTCTTTTTCCAATTATCTAATGTGTTTGTCTGGACCCAACAGTCTAATGGGTTGGGTTGGTCCTAATTGTCTAATGTATCTGTCTGGACCCATTTGTCTAATGTATCTGTCTGTTCCCATTTGTCTAATGTGTCTGTCTGGATCCATTTGTCTAATGTATCTGTCTGGACCCATTTGTCTAATGTGTTTGTCTGGACCCAGTAGTCTAATGTGTTTACCTGGACTCATTTGTCTAATGTGTTTATCTAGACCCAGTTGTCTTATGCGTTGGTCTGGTCCTAATTGTCTGATGTATCTGTCTGGACCCATTTGTCTAATGTATCTGTCTGGACCCATTTGTCTAATGTGTCTGTCTGGATCCAATGGTCTGATGTGTTTGTCTGGACCCAATGATGTTATGTGTTGGTCTTTTTCCAATTGTCTAATGTGTTTGTCTGGACCCAGTTGTCTAATGCGTTGATCTGGTCCTAATTGTCTAATTAGTTTGTCTGGACACAACTGTCTAATGTGTTTGTCTGGACACAACTGTCTAATGTGTATGTCTGGACACAACTGTCTAATGTGTATGTCTGGACACAACTGTCTAATGTGTATGTCTGGACACAATGGTCTAATGTGTATGTCTGGACACAATGGTCTAATGTGTATGTCTGGTCCCAGTAGTCTAATGCGTTGGTCTGGTCCTAATTGTCTAATTAGTTTGTCTGGACACAACTGTCTTATTAGTTTGTCTGGACACAACTGTCTAATGTGTATGTCTGGACACAACTGTCTAATGTGTATGTCTGGACACAACTGTCTAATGTGTATGTCTGGACACAACTGTCTAATGTGTATGTCTGGACACAATGGTCTAATGTGTATGTCTGGTCCCAGTAGTCTAATGCGTTGGTCTGGTCCTAATTGTCTAATTAGTTTGTCTGGACACAACTGTCTAATGTGTTTGTCTGGACACAACTGTCTAATGTGTATGTCTGGACACAACTGTCTAATGTGTATGTCTGGTCCCAGTAGTCTAATGCGTTGGTCTGGTCCTAATTGTCTAATTAGTTTGTCTGGACACAACTGTCTTATTAGTTTGTCTGGACACAACTGTCTAATGTGTATGTCTGGTCCCAGTTCTTTCAGTTTCAAACTGGTGTTGCTTCCTTTATATTGAGAATGGTTGTTGGTGTAACTCTGATATTGATAATGACCTAGATATGTGAACGTACACAACTGTTTTAAAATTATTGTGATTTGGTTTATACTAAACACCGTTGTTGACAAACTATGGCCCTATTGCCGTACCAGTTTGTACCCTGACTTTGTGATAATGGAGCCCTTGGTGTTGGTGGGTGTCATTGTCAATTCTACTGTCTGAGAACTGACGGGTGTCCTGTTACATCCCTTTGTTTCCTGTGTGGACTTTTCACAAGGTCTACGGATGCTGGAAAACGTCCTTTCCCTTTAAATCGTCATAAATTCTCGATGTTGGATATCTATGATCTCAGTCAAATACACTAGTCGGAATGAGCCTAGCATGCACTTAATTGGGCAAACGCAAGACCTGACCATTATTCAATCATATCCAATGGTCTCCCTCCAATGATTACTAAACAACTAGAAGTCCTTGAAACGTCTCTAGAAGCACCTATTGCTGTGATAACTCTCAAATAATATTTCGATTCTTCATGCTTAATGGGAGTTGTATTTGAGTAAATATTGACAAATTGTTTAAACATTTCCCTGTTCACAGGTAAATCAGATAGTGCTTGTGTGATCCTTTATGGTTTCTAGTAGCCAAATTGCCCTAATCAATTAGTGCTGTGTACATTGCCTGGCCTCTGCCAGGTAACGTTATCCCTTTAGAAACGGCGGCAAATTGATCGTCAGCCTCATCCCACCGCCACCAAGCAGTTAAGCGTCAACCACCAAGCGGCTAAAGCGAGATTAACTTTCACAATTATAAGCATTCGATACCTAACCAACATCAGGGCTTATCACATTGACAGTTCGATATGAAAATGAATATGCGAATCTGTCAAATGCATTAGGCACGAACCCGTCAAAGACCCGGCGAATCTCTAGTCTTATATTTCTCCCAACACTAGATATATCAAGTTTTGACAAGCAATTACGCATGTCACATTCTAGCTGCTCTCGCGCGCAGACTTATGACAATTATAGATAAAAAGCTTATCGAGTAGGAAAGGCTAAAGGTTTAGACCTGCGCTCGTGAGGTCTCTGCGGGGAGGCCTTGTGGGGCAGAGGGATTTGCGACGCTCGCGCAAGGCCAAGTGGTCATCTTGACAGTATAACCCCGTGTCATGACCCTAATCGGCGGGTATAGTAGCGTTATATACATGTAACGGTGTAGTCATAAGATCTCACCGGAATTCCCATTCCTAGTGGAGTTTTATTTTAGCAGACTGCTGTCAAACTGTTAAAATCGCGAGGACAAACCTAATATGATATGGAAACAAATTCCAGATATTTTTTATCAACACATCACTACCAAATGCTTGAAAGTTTCAAATTTCCTTTTACAATTTCAACTCCTACTGTTCTCGTGCTTTAATACACGTATTCTATGCGTTGTGACGTTTTAACTCAGTCAGTGACAACACTTTTTTTAAGAAGACTACATTTTCATATTTATTATTCAGAGTCATTTGTTATTGAAATTTGAATTATGGACATCTGTAGAGGTGAATACGTCTATAAAGTTCAATAGTCTTCTAGACTCATTAACCGAAATAAATTCTGCGTCATTTTAAGGTTTACATAACCACATTTAAATATTAAGTTTTTATGTATAATTGGATATGTAATTAAAGTCTTTTATTATAAACATTGTAAGTGCAAGAAAAACACCAAAAGCAAAGACTAGCTTTTGACAAATGCATTGCGACTTTACAGTTTGTGTTACAATGCTACAACATGTAAAATCCGCTGCATGTGATCATAATCCATCCAATCAAATTGTCGCTTATTAGTCAATAGCGCCGTTCGTATTACACTATTTGAATAACGATCAGTGGATTTAAAAATCAGATAAATTAGATATATAATACCAAGTACTTAAATAAACGAATAACTGAACGTGGATGCCGCCCACATTACCGACAATATATAAAGTGATATAGAATACCAAAAGGAAATCGAGATATGACAAACAGAACAAAAATAGCGAAATAGGACGGTAAATTTGAGTACAAATAGTTAGCTAGGGATCACACTACTTTCCTTGTTAAGCTTTGTTTATAGTCAAACATCGTTAATTTGGAAAAAGAATAATTCTCTGATGACTGAAACGTATCTCATATGTGTTGTCATAATCAGAAATATAACACGTCATCATGCCTTTTAATCAAAAGTTTAGTAGAAGTTTTCGATCTGCATGTGGAGGCTATTAAGAGCTAAGCAGATATCATTCATGTAGATTTAGTCCACATGTCTGTCTCTCTATCTCATGTACAATGCACTTCAAAGTTTCTTGACTGTTCCTTGAAATAAAGTGCACGTGTCTTTACCGATCTTCAAACGTAAAATAAACATTGAATTGATTGTCTATAGATGTCTAAGAGGCCAGAGGAGGACCTCCACAAAGAGCTGCAACTACTGAAACTCATTTGGCCCAAAGTGAGTCACAAGTGTTCAAAGTGCATGCTCCAAAGTAACGCCACGGTTATAATGCTTTCGATCCGAATTTGTTGCAACATTTTGATATTCTATTAAATATCTGTTTACCAAAAACAAAAGAAAATAGCCTGAGGCACGTGGTGCTCGAAAGCATGACATCAGAGGTCCGGAAGTCGTAAAACTCAGGGGATCAGCCATTAATTTCAATGTATAATTGATGCTGTCAATCATAAAGACAGGGACCATGTAAATTACCCTATAATAATTATCTGTTACGTCGCTATGACACAAGATATTCGCTATTACACAGAGTATCTTGTCGGTCAGGACCTACAAACCATGCGAAAATTATCACTGCATTCACAAGCCCGTAAATGTCACTCGGCAGACAAATCTATCTCCAAGTCAGGTGAGAAATTTAAACAGAAGGTGCTTGATGGAAAAAAATCAATTACTGGCTGTCAGTTCGATCCCTGAGGGCAATGTGTTCGAATCTTACGCTCCATTACACAGTAAGGACACCTGTACGATTCCCCTCCACTACGTCCAGTTCTTCCATCTCACTTACTTTTGATTCAAAATAAAAGTCTGTTTTTATATCTTAAACATCTGTTGAAACACATAAAACAACTGTAGACCTACGACTCGTGTAAAACTTAACTTCATGTAAATGTAGATTATAATGATAATAATTCTTAGTCAAATCAATACAGACAGCCACCGAGCAAGCCAGACAGATAGCCATCCAGTCAGCCAACAGACTGACGGACGGAAGGACAGACGGAATGCATGTCCGTCCCTATCATATATACATGATAAACAGCACCTACACATCCTTATCCAATGAATGCAAGTTTCATATTTATCACAAGAAGTATTAACTGTGTGAGTTACTTGGCGTGGATATTGATAAAAGTATGTATATACATAAATATATCATCATCCTTGTTAATTACCTTTCCCGCTCTTTTGACAGTTGCTTTGGGTAGGCTTTTCAATTTCACGTCATTGTAGTTACTAATTGTCCAAAATAATAAAAGTCGTACTTTCATGCAGTGCATTTTTCTACAGGTGACAGGTAAAAATAATCAGTGACGTCACTTTTGATATCAGCTGTATGTAGATAAATATTCATCACTCATCGGTAAGAAAATCCCTTACTTCACGACTATAAGGGCCATGTTGAAACAATCAGTTTCCATATGGCAGTGTTGTTCGAGCGCTATCATATCTCTGTATTTTTTATTATTACTCTTAGGCGCCTGGTGGTTTTGTAGAAAGTCTTTTAATTGTAAGCAGATAACGTGATGTATCGGGTTGTATAGTCGATGTGGCCCGAATCGGTAAGGTGTCTGTTAGAGTTCCTGTGTCACGACCTGACCCTTGACCTCACGTGACCCCACATGGCCCCGCGTTGAGGAGATAACTAGCGAACAGACAGGTAAGATATTCATTGAAACGTCTCTGGAGCACGATAGGTGTTGTACTAGGGTGATAAGAGCAGACTATATGAGACTAAACAGATAACTTGTTGAACCTTACAGGTCTAGTTCACATGAAATCTGACAGAAACTTAACCTCAGCCGCTCTATCGACAGTCAACCAATCCGGCATGTAATAGGATGGATAAGATAGTTCGCCACGCCTGATCTGTGTTTCCCTCCCTCTCCTTTCCATCCTCGTCCTCCCCCTCTTCGCTCCACCTCCTTCGATCTGAACATCATTGCACCTGACCATATTTTAAAGGCCAATAACATACTCCTACATCTGTCCCATGCCACCCCCGCATACAAGTGTGTATTCGGTATACTCTTATTTAACTTCCAGATTCGTACAAGCTTGTTACTGTGACTTACACATTCGTTTAAGAACACGCTCTGAATTAAGCGAACAACTCTTTAATTAACACCAGTCTTACTTTATCCAAAGAAAATTTGCCATGAAATTCTGTAAAATTTTTGCACATTTTCTTCCTGTTGAAATGTTGCAAATGAGTGGTTTGATTATTTAGAAAGGAAAAAAGCCCGCCTACCTGTTTTACGTAGGTTCTTATTCATGGATTCCTGGTGTTCAATGCTACATTATATTTCTATATTAGTTCTGTAGTTAATATTGCTCCTTTATAAACCGACTGTTTGTAGCTCTCTACTATACATCAATGTGTAATTATACTGCAGAACTTGTTGTACAATCAATGTATTAGGACAATGACCAAGATTATTGTATTGTTGCCGTCAAAAATTGTCAAGGTTATTCTATCACCACTTAAATAGTCATCGTCAAGGTCATTTTATATAAACTTTTTAAGGAATTGAACAAGATCAGAGATAAACGATCGTATATGGCAATGTAGTAACACTGCCATTTTCAGTCAACGTGAAACACCTTTTTTTACAAATTATATATTTCAATCGCTACAAGGTTATTCAATAAGGTATTTTAATTGCTTCAAGGGCAATACACAAGCTCAAAAGACAAGGCCATTGTGACAAGGTCAGTACACATGTAGTCGCTGTGATGAGGGGTTATTATCTTACATGAGGTTACTGTTAGGATCTGGTCCTAATGTTATTTTGTCATTATCTTCTGTACGAGTATGTTGCCTTCCTGTATCACTACTGTAACGGTATCAGCTGTTCTGATATCTTGTTATATATCTATAAATATTCAACATTAAATACATGAATACAATAAAATTCCACTATCTAAAACTAAAAAAC